GATAGCTGAAGAAAATTACACAAAAATTATTAGGGATATGATAAAAGCATGTTCTCTCTATCCCAAGTTATGTAGAATATATTGACAACAAATTTAATGTCTATAACTATGATTTAATGCTCTTCTCCTTTCTACCTCTCTTCCAGGGATCCTCTTTTCCAGAGCTCTCTCACTAAATCAAATAACATTATCACTGAGTACTATTATCACACTCAAATTTATAAACACACATTTCCCAAGTCCCACCTCATTTTCTAGTAGTATTTCTAATATTTTAGATTTTACACAGGATGAATCCCTCTTCTTCACTATCATATAGTTAAATACCTTAGTGAAGAAGATCACATACCCTGATGTGCCACACCTCAAGAGAGGCTTCTCAGTGTCAGCTCTTCAGGCAATACAGTAAAAGTATTTCCTCCCTACAGAACCCACTGCCACCAGCAATGTTCTTCTCCAGTCACACTGAGACATTTCATAGAGAGACCAAGTTTAGGAAAGTATCTGCACTCTCCCAGACTTTAAGATCACCACTACAGTCCTTACATGGGGCATTATCCTAAAATCAAAGAACCTGCTGACCATTGCAGAAGATTCTGGCTAGCAGAGAAGTATTTTGAACATGGCATCATACACTGTCAAGTTACTGTGCTATTCATTGGAATTACACTTTTCTATGCAGCAAAGGCAGTTTAAATAATTGCTGCCTACTTCCACTCTCCCAAGTTCCTCCCTTCACACTTCATCAACCATTTCATGATCCAGTTATAAAGGCTGGGACCCAAACACCACTGAATTGGCAGTCGAGAGGTGACAGCAATGGGTAAGGGCACAAACTTTTACTAGCTTTGTTGACAGAAAAATCCACTGGGGAATCTTTTCTCAAAATCTACATTAATAAATAAAAAAGTAGAAATGTAGAGAACATTTCATAAGGCAAAAAAGAAGCTTTGACAGTCGTCTGTTAAACTGCAGAATGCAGCACTATAAAGAATTCTACCATGAAGCAAATTTTATGTTCTAAAATTACTTGAACTAAACTACTCAACTGAAGCAAAATGCTAGAACTAAATGCTAAAATAATTCAACTGGGGAACATTAAATACATCTTCTGAGAATACTATTAAACCCAAGCAATACTCTTAAACTGCGAATTAGACATGATAGCTAGATTTTCCATAGAGACATACAAATGCAAATCCTTCCAGTGGGTTAAATAAAAAGTATTTTCATTTCTAAAATACATAACTAACTTTCAGAAATTTAAAAACTAATCTACTCCTCCTTAACCTATAGTTTTACAGGATCAGCCACCGTATCTGCTCAGACAAGTCCTTTTGAAGCCAGGTACTGCCACCAAGTGGTGGTGAAATTTGGATTTGCAAATCCAATTATTCCCCATGTGTAGAGCATACAGAACTGAAAAACATTCCCGCAGCTGCCAAATATGAGCAACGCTCTGCTAATACAAGACATTTAAAAATTAATCAAAACGGAGTCCTGATATCAAAACCTAAACCCGATCTTCAAAGTAAAACAAAGGTTTTTCCAACAATTCAGTCCTTTTGTTCAGACACCACTCGTAAGCAGTTGGGTAAAGAAACCTTTTTTCCAATACAAATCCAATATATACCAATAAAACAATTAGGTGTTTTATATAACTCAGTGCAAATTCCCAACTATATCACCAGAGAGGTCTTATTTCCTGCATGACTGCAGGAAAAAGAGAATTTTGTAACTGACATAAAAGACCTCTTAAGGTATAAATATCCAGCTTGTTTTCTGGATAAGCTACCCACTCAATTTACATTCATTAGTATGTAAAGATCACAATCGGACTGAAAGGAATTTTTAGAAATCAGATATATTTTACTATTACAGGAATATTTCACAAATTAATTAAACAATATTATTGGCTACCTGCATGAACTAGTTGTGAAGTGTCAACTTTCTTAAAGATGATATTAAGAATACTTTAACCCAATTAACACAACACATCTTTCAACTTCAGAACAATTCTACCTTATTTATTGTTATATTGGATAAAAGTTGTCATTCTTTTTATCCAGCATGACCTGAAACACATCTAGCAGTTTCTCATGATTTTTGCTTTTTTGGCTGATAACCACTTGCTGTACAAACGTTAATGTAATCGCAAATGTTCAGACTATATCTCCTGCTAATGTAAACAGATTTTTCAACTTTTAAAGCATGGCATCTTTCCCAATTATAAAAACACTAGCTGAAACAAACACTCTGCTTTTACTAATTTAATTCAGAACTTTAGAGTAATAAACACATTAATGATATTCACTCCTCCTTATCAACAAACTGGCTCTCATCCTACATTCTCCAATTCATCCAATTCTCCTGTGGAGTTCAGAATTGCAGTCTGTAAATCAGAAATTTTAAGAACAAATACTATGGTTACCCCAATAAAGTACATTCACTGTTTGTAAACAGTATCTTATACCTGTGTGTTTTTAACTACTAACAGATTTCTTTATTTATTTACAGAAGTCAGGATATGGTATGTTTTATATTCGCCTTAGGAATGTCAATGATTTGAAATTGTAAGAACAAAACTTCAAAGCCCTTACAAAACAAAACAAAAAAAACCCCCTCAAAACTCATGGAAAGCACACTAGCAGAGTCATCAGGAAATGCATTATGGTCAAGTGTACAAGAAAAATGCTTGACAAATAACTAAATCACATTTTCAGGTATTGCTTTAAAAGACATAAGCTTACACAAAAAGGCAAGTCTGCACTGAGCTGTGAGAGTGAAAATTTCTGTTTAGAAGTCTCTGAGATGCTGCAGCTACCACACTCATGAGTGAAGACTGAAGACAGAGGCAGCTAGGAAATGCAGGTTGCTCTTGAAAATAAACTCTTTCAGTCATCCCTGCTGCCCCTCTCTGAACTGAACCTTCTTCAGCTCTTCCATGTTGTTTTTCAGTCACCTGACTAGAAGAAGCAATACACGTTGCAATGCAATGCAGCCATGGTACGCCACAAATTCACAGAACCGGATCTGGGTTTTGTTCTGCTCCCTAAGAAAGCACAATAATTTCATTGATTTATTGACTATTCAGTTGTCATTGTTACTGAACTCTGGGAACCTCAAGGTCTCCTCCAAGCAACAGCAATACTGATCAAACATCATCACACTGTTTCCACTTATTCTTTTACATGTTTTTCTGTCCTCTTGCTGTGAATGCAATCCTACAGGCATTCTCCTCAGAGACCAGCTTTTTCCTACTAAATATAGATAACTACCATAAAGATGAACAGTCTTCAGAGTTTCATTCAGAAGACTTCATGCTCAAAACTGCACTCAGTTATTTACACATCAGACTTTTCAACTAATCTTCTGTATTTAAATGAGTAATTAGATAACCATACAAATTAAAAAGAAACAGCATAAATGGCAAGCTTTACGTACTGAAAGCATTAGAAGGCATAAGGAGCAGTTTACTGAATTGAATTTTATTGAATTTTACTGTCAATTCAAGTCCCTTTTCTAGCCATAATTCTTGTTTTACACTCATCCTTAGATGAAGTATTTCCTTTTGTAGAGTTATATTCCTTTCTTTTCTCAAAGCAGCACATTTCAGAAACCAGCAAAGTCAGGCTAAGGCAGTAAACATCTTCTACACGTAAGTATATGCATAACACAGCAGTAGAGTTTATTTTTAATCGTTCATAGTTCAGAAGACAATTCATAATCAAAGTCCTGAATCAGTTATACATTATACAAAAGATCAACACTCAATAGAAGAGTTATTTTAAATTCCCCACAAAGCACTCTTCTATAATCAGTATTTTAAAGTTGACAGCAACAGCTCTGAAGAAGTCTTAGTGGAACAGAAGATATGAACACAGCAGTTCATGTCTATTTTAATATGTACATACTACAATTTCCAGGCAATATTAAGTCTACATAATAATTGGAGCTTGGAATTAAGGAACAAACTCATTTAAGCAAATGGGATCTCACCTCTCACCTATTCAAAATATCAAGTCATAGCAAGCAGCTACATTCTGAGATGGCACATAAGTCAAACAGCAAGCAGGATACTTGAGGAGACAGCTTTGGTTTGTTACACAGATCTCTGTAGTTGAGTCCATCATGCCATGTCTCCAAAGTAGAGAACTTACTGAACTGTGGGGCCTTACCTAAAGATTCTCTTGAAAGACTCAAGCTAAAACAGATTAAAGCTCATTGTCATATGTTTCAGATAATTATACGGAGACAAGATTAAATTTTACAGTTCAAATTATCCCTGAAGTAGCAAGTAAATGGAAGAGAAAAAGATAAGCTTCTTAATTCTTTTTCTCAAAATAACAGAGAAAGGGATGGGGGGAAGGAGGAAAATGCCAGTTACAGGAAATTTTTCCTAGATGGACACTTTGCAATTGCAAATGGACACTTAAGTTCTACCAGCAGTAAATCTCCATAGCCTTTGTCTTTCAAATAGCTTGCAAATGGGTTCCTAAAGACGGGAAGAGGGGAGAAAATTCCAACAGAATTTCATTGTTTAAAACTTGAAATGCTATTCTGATAGTTGGTCAAATTTCCCACGTAGTTATTTATTAATATAAAGTGCAAGTTTAACATGCTGCTTTTACAGTGCAAAGTACACTTTCAGTACTTTGAAACCAGGTGGATGTAGATGTAGAGAACAAAATTATTTAAAGTGCTCATAATTTTGTCTCTCAACAACTAGCAGAACACCATGATAGCTTTTAAACTACAATAATTTATGGAAGAAAAACATTATTATCATCATAATATTAAATAACGGGGAAAATATCTTTTGTTCCTCTTCTGGTTTTGTAGAAGTAACACTGCACCATTACAGTACATACACATACATTATAGTAATCAAGACACAAATTCCAAGAAAATTTTCACTTATCATTTTTCTGCAGGTTTAGCAGTATATGCAAATGGCATTTTTTGGGAAAAAAACCCACCAACACAAAACTCCTACTCACCTTTGCTTGTTTTATTTACATTACGCTGTAAGATCCACTTCCACATTAACACAAACCTGCAAAATAAAACAAGAACTTACTGTACAGCTGTCATTGTTTTCTCCTTGTGTCCCAGACTATGAGACAAGAGTAGAAAAGCAGGGAGGTAAGAAATCCCCAGCCATAAAAGTATTCTATATTTTTGATCTCAGGGTAAAAGTATCAACATGTCAGTGGTCTTCTCTCAAACATGTGTAATTTCCACATAATATAGTTATTGGCATTTTAATTTTAAAAATCTACCAAGAAGTTGTATCAAATATACACATGCTATTAAATTAAGTGGGCAGAACAGGGAGAAAATAAGTTGCATGGAAAAAAAAAGCTCTGCATTTGCTGCTAGTGCCTTCAGAGTCAGCTATCTCAAGGTCCCTGAACAAGGAATGATGCAGAGAAAGGAATTTGTTACAAACGAACGCTTAAAAAAATCTTTTTAGCAAAAATTATCAACATATCTGAGATAAGTGTTGGAGGACTTGAAGCCTGGGCCTTTCAAATTTCTAACCTTTTTAAGGCAAAGTTGTGTTTATGATTCTAAGGTTAGCTGGCCCACTTAAAAATGATAATTTATTTGTCTGTATAAAAGCTGATCAATGTCAGATGAACTTGTTTTGCTCACGTATCTTTAGAACCAACTATACAAGGTCATTTTTCACTTCCTATTTGGAAATTCTGAAGAGACTCCAAAAGCAACTAAAGCTGCACAAAAGCAAGAATGGATTTGGGTATGGTATCTCTACAGAACTGAGTCTACTAATGAACACACAACTACCTGCATAGAGTTTTACAAAAAGGGTAGGTTGTTCTTATCTAGAACATCATATCTTTATCTAGACTAAATGTTTAGGCATCATCAGAACTGACTCTGAATGAAATAACTATCATCACACACCGTCCATATCTCATTTTATTCACACACAGCTTTTTGATTCAGAGTTCCCCAGTCAAGCTGCAACTGTCTCAAAGCCCCTTGCCTAAATTACAAAGACAGAAAATAAGGGAAGACAGACCTTTCAAAAAAGCCTGACTGGATAACATAAAGCAACAGAAGATAAGCATTTGAGCTCCTTTTCCTAGCCCCAGGATTGTGTCCCAAGCATCATATTAAACTGTAGCTTTATGCATGAATGCTACTCAATATACATACTCATTTCTCAAGTAAGATTTATTACAGGAAAAAATTATAATTCTTAGGTCAGATTTTAAAGCAATATTCATTCACCTAGAGAAGCAGAAGTGTTACTTTCAAACAGCAGTGGAGCTCTACTGTATGTTACAGAAAGTTAACGTAAAATTAGTTATATTCCCACAAAAATAACAGCCTCCATTTACAAAGAGTCAAAACTCCTTCCATAAAATGAGAAAGAAAGTCAATGGTCATGGCTTTACACGATCAAACATGATGATGAGCACTAAAGCAGACATCTCAGAAAGCCTGTGCACTTTGGCTGGGGAGTGACAACCCCAATCTAACACTTCCTTAATTAAGAACCACAATGACTCTGCCCCTGTGCAAAATGGCCTCAACACCTACATCTTCTAAACTTCGCAATGAACTAAACATTAGCAATAACTGCTCTCAACACAGATTTCATGGCTTGTGACTCAAGTGCAGACAGAATCTTCCAAAGGATTGAACCCAGACAGCTGCAGGTCACTGGGGTGATACAGCAGCAGTGTCATACCACCCACCACTCTCTGTAACAGCCCTTCCACAGGAACACTTTACTTTGGATCCATCAACTGACTTAGTGTAGGGTAAGACTGCCCATTTTATGTGACCAATTTATCTAGAGGACGTGTACTTGAACGTGCACTTTGCAGAAAACTTAGATGCAAGTACTCTTGCATTTCAGTATTCTTTGGATCACAGGGAGCTCACACAAACCATGCTGGGGATAAATCTGGGATTATTCTACATCTGGCACAGAGGGAAAGAGAAGGAAAAAGAGAAGATGGGCCATTTTAATTTAGATATTGTCCAGCTGAAGGAAAGGTGACAAGTTTCACAAAGAGATCACCAGCAAGTAAACTGCTGAAGGACAAAAGGGCTGGTCACTGCAGCCCTGCACCAACTTCAAAGGGCCCTACAGAATTAACCCCCCTTTTTGGAATTTCAAACCCTCTGATATACAAAGCTCCGCCCCATGGGAGACAGTACCTGCAGTGTCATGCAAACATCTTCATGAAGACAACACAATCCACAGGACACCAGATCTTAGCCCAAACCATTGATAGCATTGAGATTGTTTAAAGCCACCCAGCTACAGTGCTCAGCCAGCATTCACATCTCCTCTCAAAGGTCTTTCTGCTGTCAAGTAAGATTTCTCTCACTCCACTACAAACTCTAACACCTACTATTAATTTCAAGGGTGATGACATTTGAAATAACTGAGCGCCTGACATTCTTTACCAGCAGATTCGAGAAAGGTAGTTCTCCAAAAATTTCCTTAGGAAAAGGCAAAGATTTCAACATCATAAATGCTTTTGCTTCAATTTGCCTGTCTTAATTCTCATTATCAGGAAAGGAAGTGGGAATTAAAGTCACTCTCCCATACCAGGTAATAAAAGAGGGCATGAAAAGGGTGACAGAACTGAGTAAGAAATGTAGTTACACAGCATTCACCCAAAGACCTCGATATTCTAAGAGTGAGAAGGGGGACCACAGCAGGGAAAAAGGACTGCTGTAAAATGGTCAAGATTCTGATAAGCAGCTTCCTGTTCTGATCTGGGCAGTGAACAGGAAGTGGAAGAAAACCGAAATGGTAGAGATGAAAGAGATCACAAATGCACCCCCAGTGATACTAACCAAAAATAGATGGACTAAAACTCTTGCTATAATGAAGCATCTCCTAAGAGCACATCCCCTCCCTCTCTGAGGAAAAAGTTTAAGGAACACTGGAACACAAAGGTGTACAATGACTGAGTTTGTTGTAATCATAACAAGAGTTTTGACCCACTTGTTTACTATGCAGCCCTTATTTCATAACTGATCTGCATTGTAACTGACATTTCCACATCCATCTGCAAAAAGACACCCTCACCTTTAACCACCACCTTCTCCTGGAATGACTGAAGCTAGGAATGGAATTCACATGGAAGCTTCTTAGGTGGTTTATTCCACGGGTTTTGTTTTGCTGTGTGTTGCTGTTTAACACAAAACCAGTTTTGCCTCTATAGCTGATTATGCCTGTGTGGGAAGAAATAAAGAGGAAGAAACAAAGACTAGAACAACTATACTATAAAAACTACTTTTGTTGATATGAACTGTGGCTAAACAGTCAATTCCACCAGCTTGACTACACAGAGCAAAAAGTCTTGCAACTGTAGACTTGATTTAATGGCTTAGAAAATCTGATTAGTTAGTCCAGAGTGGCAGCTACATTTATTAGGATATGACCATCCCAGTATTAAATTCAAACGCAGGGTGTGGAATAAATTTCATTCTAATATCTGCTGCAGCTCTGGAAAAAAAATTTGTACTCTTACAAAAATCTAAGAACCCTAAATATCAACGCAGGAAAAAACTGCCACTAGAAAGCAGAGATTATTAAGAAAAGGCTATTACAAGAAAGCCAGAAGTTCCTGCCAAAATTGTACACGCAGTATCAGGGATAAAGCAATTTCAGATGACTGAAAAGGCAAAAACTCAGCTGATGAGAGTCCTACATCAACTGATACAGCTGAAAAGCTCTTTAAATACAAGCCTATACTGCTCTTTTCCAAACAAGTAGTCAGCAATGACCTTGTCTGTACAAAATGTAGTTTCCTGCTTTCTATTTGCAGAAGGATCTTTGATTGTCTTTGATTTCTATTTAAAAAGTATAAAAACAACTTAATCTACATTCAGTAGCCACAAATATCTAGAACTAACAGCCAGTGTAGATTAAATAATCATTTGAATTTAAACATGAGGTTTTTCTAAAACCACAAAATTAATCCCTTTCAAGACTTTGTAGAACCTCTGAATCTGTGCTATTCCAACTGTAGTTTCACCAACTGAATTACATATGCCACAATCCCATTTACCAAAATTAAATTTGTAAAGAAAAAAAATAATAATCATTCTTCTTAAAATAGTTAATGAAGAGCAATACTTAAGAACAGGCACTATACTAGAGTCTGAATTACTCAGAAGCCAAATTAAGCAAAAGTTTAGCACTTTATAACAGGAAGAGACAAAATTTAAGTCATTACTGGAGATGTTCCTGACTTCAAAGAATCTGCAGTGAGTGAACAAAAGCAAGCAAGAAACTGCAAGAGAGAAGACTGCCTCTTGCATTTTGAATCTCCTGCTACATTTTGAGAGTTATCTGAAAAACAGTTCAAAGAAGTTACAGTTCTTCCTTTGTCTGTTCATCACAGTAAAAGCCACACGCACAGTTCCCAAAGCTGTGGTAGGGCTTTCACGTGGAAATGTTGAAATCTCTTATTTTTCTACTCATAGAAAGTTTTGCTTTTTGACAACACTCCATATGGGACAGTGAAGCACTTCAAGGAAACGTGTGACAGCATAGGAAATGAACACAACTGATCATACCTCAGAGTGGGAAGCTGTTTCAGTCCAAACAAGATTACAAGTAGTTGAATGCAACATTAATAGGAATATCACAGTAGGGAAAAAGTAGTCTCGTAGAGTAGCTTGAATGGAAAAAAGGAACCTCTGTTTATATCATCAATTAGGTCAAATGAGAGATTTAATTATTATTTCAAAAATGTGCATACCATAAAGAAAAATAAATTGAAAAGTCATCACAGCAAAAAGTATTCTAGGTAGGAAGGAGTTTGGACTACCAAAACATATTGGCTGAAAAAGCTACTTTTCCTCTCTATCAGTAAAGAGATCAGATGCAAACATTCAAAGATGTACACAACAGACACACAATAAAGATGCAAAGATGTCTACAGAGAAGCAAGGGGAAACAAACAGTTTGAGAGCTATTGACTTTGAGCATACATTATCCAGTAAGCAAATACGTAACAATGAGCACACAAATGAAAGCATCATAAAAGCACTAAACTGAAGCATCAGTTTGAAGATGGAAGTTCTGAAAACATTTAGAATTTTAAGACCTTAAGAGAAATACTACCATGATGTTTCTAAAGGCTACTTATCAATGCAGTTCCTCCCCTCAGCTAAGATGGGCACAACATTCTAAGTATCATTGATATTAAAAAGTTTACAGTCCATCAATACCCTGCTAAATTGAATGGCATTCTTCACAATGAGATTTACCATAAGCAATAAGCTACAGGGAAATAATTCACTGTCTTCATAATTTCTCTGCCTGTTTAAACTACAGATCAATCTACCACTTGCATAATAAACATCCATACATTTTCAGTTACCCTTCAGCCTCTTCATTTTGACAACATGAACTGGTTTTTCATTTACTGCACTTATGTACCTTAAATATAACAGCTTTTCTTAAACAGGGAAAGCTTAAAGTCCAGAATGACAATCTCTCCATTCCACTCCAAACTGCTAATGGCACTGTACACATCCTTGGCATCATCCTGGACTCTGAACAGGCTTCTGTTCATTATGCTGGCAGCAAAATCCCATCAGTACATTACCTGTACAGGAACCGCCTCCACCCTTCCAGTTATACACTCACTCTGTGCCCAGTAAGATATATATATATTACTTCACCATACATCATCATGTAAGCTTTACACAGAGCACCTCAAAATGCAGTGACATACCCTAGGACTATAAGCATTGCAAAACAGGATTCCAGAAAATATTTACACTAAATCTTCCCAACCTCGTAAGAAATTGGATTATGGCTCCTTAAAAAATTTCAGGCCGAGTTTGCACCTCCCATTTCTCAGCTGAAAAGTAATTGAAAATGCAAACCAGGAAAGTTTGATCTCTGAAGTGCTTTCTAAGGACCCAACAGCCTTAAGCAAAAAACATGAATTTTGTGTCTTAAACAAAAAAAGCAAGCTTTTAGAAACATCTGAGGCCACCTCTTATATCTCAAGGTTTGTTTTTAAAATACTGAACTGTACAGTGATGTTACACATTCATAGTCTTGTCCTCTCCTTTCTCCAGAACTTTAATAAAAACATGGAGTTTTTATTAAAATTAAGCATGAGTTTAAGCGAAGATTGTGACCATCAAATTAGTGCATCCCCTTTAGTGTACCACTAAGCAACACCATTCTACAGTTCAAATATCTGTCTTCACATACTACGAATTTTTCTACAACTTCCAAGTAATATTTTATGCATATTTGGCACACATGACTTGAAACAGTTTATCAGCCACACCTCTTATTGAATGAATCCTGTGTCTTTTCAGTCAAAGAAGTCCAAGAGAGAACCAAAACCCCAAAAGATGAAAAAAGTACAGAAAAATGGGATCTTCTCTAGGTATAAAAAAAACACATCTCACATATGGGACTTTGAAGAAGACAAGACAGTTTACTGTCAGACCATACCTGTCCTCAATCTGCCACCTGTGGACTCCTGATAGAGACAAATTATTGTTCACACATTCACTGAACTTGACCTACCCTTCCCTGATGTAATGCATAAAATAACTCTGAAATTCCTCAATGTAACTGCAACCTATTAATCTAAAACCTGCAAGAAGTTTACAACACAATGCACACACATCCTTATCAAAGTACAATACAGTTTCCTTAGTAGATTCCACTCTATAACCTGACCCTTATTTATATATCTTGAACCTTATTTATAGATCTTCAAACAGAATTTAGGTTGGGCATATTTATTTAAAACTTTAAAAAAAAAAAAGCTTTGCTGCATGCAGAAAAACCACTCAGGGGTTAATTTTAGAAAGCCAGAATTGTGTTACCATATACAACATATTTTGTGAAATAGTATCTTTTTACTGCTTTTTTCCCCTGCAAGTGTTTCATAAGGACATTATGTTTATTATTAAAATTTAAAACCATTAAGCAATTTTTTTAGTGTAGAAAAGGCAGTAATGAGGTTTTAAAAGGTATTTACTAGAAATTAGTTTCTCCACTAAGCACTGTCATTCTAAAACAAGAATGCCTGATGACATCCATTATATCTAAATGGATTAAAATATCTGTTCCCTTTAATGACATCTTTACTTCAAAGCAGTACCTCACACAACATTTCTAACAGTAGTTAAAGCAGCACGTTAATAATCACGCCATGTTCTTACTGTAGCAACAATAATTTCTGGTAGCCATTTTCTTTGCAGCTTTAACACTGTTTAAAGCCAGCAGTCCCTCCTGCAACCTCTGTAGAAACCCAAAGCAGCAAGTGCTCTGCGGTCTCCCCTGGCTGCACTCCTGAGCCGCCTCCCCCCGCAGCGGCCCCAGCCCCGTGTGCTCCCATAGCAGCATTCCCTAGCGCTGCACTCCACCAATTTCAGTTTACACTAATGGAAACATCCCAGCCTGACAGTTCCCTTTTTACAAAACCCCAAAGGACCCAACCCCCACATTGAGGAGACTGAGCAGTTTGCTACCAGAGGCTCCTTGAAGGGAGGGCAGCGCTGCAGTTCATGATTTCCACCTGCAGGCTGAGGACACACGGCCCAGCGCAGGGTCCGCGGGCCGCGCCTCGCTCAGCGCAGCCACCCAGCCTCGCAGCTCACACCTGACCGCACCAAAGCCAGCGCCGGAGCCAAAAACAATTTCTCAACAGACTTATTATGAGTATTTCTGAATTTTCTGCACTGTAAGGCATTTGTTTCCAAGTCTTTTCCGTGTTTCTGAAGTTTTAAAAATGACAAAACTTGAAACACTGTCTTGAATTAAGACTGCAATGCAGATTTCAAAAAAAGGTTGAGCCTAAAATCCTACAGCTCAAAATTAGTGATAAATTATTATTTTCTTCTTTCCTTAAAAAAAAAAATTAAAATATATATCCCCTTCTTGCAATCATGACAGCTTGAAAAAAAGCAGCAGAGAACAGAAAGTGAATTACATAAACATCTGTAACAGCAATGGCAGGAAATAGTGAACTGGTATTAGCACAGAAGTACCCCCTACAAAACAGGATCCTAAGCCCAAATTCAGTTCCTCACAAGTTTGTTCCAGTTGAAAGGGTAGCTATGCTGGGATCACGAGCTCTAATGCCTGCTGTTGTCTGTCTAGACAGCACTTCTGACATTTCCTGACCATAGCAGGAAAGGGAATCTCCTGTTCCTAGCCTCAGAGGAAGTCTATTTTCTCTGCCCATGAAAAAGTAAAATCTAACAATAATTTCCTAGAGATTTCATGCACACTTTTCATAAGTATTTCCAACGCTTCACTCATTAAGTGCTAAGAAATATCTCATTAAGGGCTTACACTTAAAATGAAAGAAGACCTATGGTGAATTCTGAATTGGTGCAGCAGAGATTTTATTCTGATATTCCTATGACAGTACCATCCAGCAGAGGACAGAGTAGATACACTCTGGTGTATCACCCCCTGTAAACAGCAGTGCTAACTCTCAAACAGCCTTCTTCCTTGAGGACTAAGCTGTGACTACAATGAATGTTCCAAGATGAAGAAAATAACCACATAAAACAATCTCCAAACATACAAATTCCAAACCAATCACCTAAAAATATAAATTCCAGCACTGCCATTCTTCTAGCAAAATATTTTTCCAAATAAAATATATGTATATTTCATACAATAGGATTCAGCCACTGCTTATCAGATTTGAAGTGAAGCTACAGAATTGCTTCCTAAGTGGGTTGATATATAAGCTTTACAATCTGGGAAAGAGCACTTTGGGGAGCCACATATACGTAGCTAGTAACGTAAGGACTTCCCTTCATTTGGCTGGAGCTTGCTTTTTGGTAACAGAGGAATGGTTTTGGGGAAGAAGGAAAGTGATAATATGCTGTCAACACTATCACCTTAATAGCCATTGAAAACGTAAAAAATCCATTCCTCGCTGAGCAGCTCAGTGCTCACTTTTGGTTTGGTGACACTGTAAGTTTTCAGCATTGTCCATGGCCTACATAAATAGGTCAAAACTATTTCCTACCTTAGATAAGCTGTAGCAATGCAACATAATTAAACCAGGTGTGTTTTATTTTACATCTTCATGGCAGGTAGCTGCATTAATTTTTTCTGAATAGGAACAACACACATCTTACAACTGAGGTTGTACTACCAGACCTGGCAAGCAAATGCTTCCACATCCCTCTCTGAAATGTAGTTTGTGACCACCAGTGACTGTCATGAACACTCAATCGAGCCAGTCACACACCACCAGCACCACAACCACAGCTCAGGTCTGACACAGCATCCACGTCTCGTTAGTAAGCTCCATTCATGGTCCCTGTGTTCAACTGGACAGGGTCCACAAGCTTTATTACTCATATAGTCATCATTCAGGAGCGTCTCCTATAGTGAAATTTCACAGAGTTTACTAAAGTTACTGCCTTTGCTACAAAATTATTCCATGAAAAGCATTTTGCTATGAAGCAGGTGTTTTCAAGATCTAGCTCAAGGACTCAAGTTATGCACTACCTTGAGGTCCACTTTCTAAACTGTTTACTAAACATTCATGGAGTCTCCATGCAAGATTGCAAGAAGATGCAGCAGTTCTATGCAGGCTTCACTTCAAGATCAGGGTTTAATTAATCTTTTTCTTTTCAGCACTGAACCTTTTAAATGCTGCTTATGGACTTATTCACTTCCTTTTGTTTCAAGGCAAAGCTTAAAATCTTTTATTCTTTTGCTATTTTAATTAGTTCTTCCAAATACACAAAGGCAAATGGAAAAACTTGGTATTTCCAGCATACCACACCAGTTATCCTCACCTGTGCATATCCAGCCCATTGGCTGTCCTTGAACTGTCAGTTTTCCTAACCAGAGCAGATTTCCCAACCAAACTTTCAAAAGTAGCTCAAGAAACAGAAGAGACAAGACAGATACTCTATTTCATATGCTTTACAGTGGATTACTAGGATAGCACCAAAGAACTGGATCTGCATGGGCTAAGACTGCATAAAATCCAAGAGTATAAATGGCACAAGTTGTTCACATCGTTACTCTGTTTCAGAATATAGACATGGTTTTTTAATTGAAGCAAAGAAACCTATATGTTTCCCACCCTAAAAAGGACATAACCTCAAGACAGAAATATTTTCTTCTAGCAAGTAAACAGCTTATGTTATTTGCAATAATAACAAAGCTTCTTAAAACAAACCAAAGTCAGCACCACAGATAAAGGAAACTTTGTCATTGTCTTGGACATTCACAGTTAAAACAAAAAACCTCTGAATACCTTGTTCAAAGGCTTCATAAATTCACAATGACTAATATGTCCCAAAAGCCTAGTGTTGTACATCAACAGAGGTTCTGTGCCTTCTTTTGGGTCCCTAAACACAGCTGACTATTTGCCTGCTGGCTGGCCCCAGAGCTACCATGTTTCCTCATTACTGGGAATTTCGTAAGCATACAAGTTAGATTTCAAGATCTCCTGTTTGTCACTGAAACACTGAAAAAAGTATAACCAATACTTAATTGTTTAGAGAATATGTACGAATATGAAATCTGGTTTAAATGGATAAAAGCAGAAAGAGCAACTTTTCCTGAAGTTCCAAGACAGCATATGGAAGCACACTAAATTAAACAATTCTGATAAAAAAGTTCAGAACTTACTCAATACCTACTTAACTTCCAACAGCTTCAGAGAAAACGAGAACCATGAATGACACTGCAGAACTCTGATAAAAGTACATAAATAAGGGATAGTTAAAAATTTAAGAAATAACCTGTCTTTATCCTCAGATTCACAAAACTAAAGAAATTCTGAGAACAAATAGAACAGAAAACAAAAGAAGTTACAGCGCAGAACAGGTCAACTTCTCCAAAATAAGCCTTCAGAATTTCCTAACCAAAGCTCTTCCTTGAACAAGAAAACCCTTTGGAATTTACGATATTTAGAGGAAAACAGTGATATTTGTACCTTTGATTTTTATGAGGTATAGGCAGCCACAAAGCACTCAGATTTGTACTTTGGTCTAGAAAAGCCAAGAGGGTTTTGGAGTGGAGGTTTTTTTTTGTTTTCTGGGGTTTTTTTTGACGGGGGCAGGGCTGAGAAGTGAGGTGGGTTTTTTACACTAATAGGATTGTCCTGTGGAAAAGTACTGGTAACTTTAACAGTTTTGTATTCTTTCAAATAGCTGCCAATTTAACATCATACAGGTTTGGTTTTTATTTCTGAATGCTAAAATCTCCTTTAAGGACAGGAAGAAATGCTAATGACTCTTCAGTGACAGAAAACGTGAAGAAAATGAACAGCCTCAAGCAGGTAAAAACCAGAACACTCCTTCCTGCTGAAAACGGCATTCTGGAAAATTACTTTAAAAAATGGAAGGAAAGCTAAGTATCTGTCATAACAAAAGTGAAATCACAGAGATATTTCTTTGGACAAAAGCACCCTAGCTCCTAGTATTAGTATCACTAAGTTGGTAGAAAACTGGGATCTACGAACATCATGGAAGCCACAACACAGGTGATCACTAATTAATCACTAACTGCCATTTTGTTCTCCTTTATATTTACATCTTTTGAAAACAGTATGCATCAGCATGCTTCCAGAGCAGCTTACTAGATGGACCTAAAGCCAAGTTACTAGAAATATATTAAATAGAACTTTATTTAAAACAGCACCCAGTATCCTAAAGACCAAAGCAATCACCTTGCAGAAGTCAAACAAATCTACTCTTCTCTAAGTGCCTCCACCAGAAAAAAACCCCAAAAAAC